GATGATTCCTTATTTGGAGTGTCTAAACTTTTAGGTGACTGTGGAGGTTCGAGAATTGATTTTTTCTTTAGGTTTAGTCACTGTGATAGGATCTACACTAGTATGATCTAACTTATTCCAATCTTTCACTCATTAAAGGCATCATCAAGCACAACATTTATGGACTCCATCACAACTCGTGTACGAGAACTCTACATACAATAGGCTCTACTGTTCCTAGAGTATCTTAGAAAAATTCTTTCATCACTCTTAGAGTCAAATTTGCCTAAATTCCCTATATGTCTCGGAATATAATACTTCCTACCAAACACACAAAAGTATTTGACAGTAAGCTTTTTACCCTTCCAAATATCATAAGGTGTCTTTTCAATCTTAGGTCTAAGGTAAACCCTGTTTACTATATGACAACATTGTTAATGGCTTCACCTTAGAAATGCATTGCTATACCTTTACCATGAAGTATGACCTTAGCCATTGCTTGAAGCACGTGATTTTTCCTCTCAACTATACCACTTTTTTGTGGAGTAATTGGTAAACTCTTGCTGGACTCCTTCCTCCAAAAAGAAATTCTAAAGGTTAGAGTTTTCAAACTCTTTCCTATGATCACTCCGAATTCTAGTTATGGTGGAATCTTTCTCATTCTTAAGTCTCTTACACATAAGGATTTAACTAAGTTGAACACCTCAGATTTTTTTCTCAACAACTCAACATGTGAACCTAGAGAAGTCATCGACCACAACCAAAATATAATGCTTGCCACCAAGGATCTCAGTCCTAGATTGTCCCATTAAGTACTTTGAAGTAATTCTAAAGGCCTGTTTGTCAAGATGTTAGAAGTTTGCTTATGATTTACTCTAAGTTGTTTACCTTGTTGACTTGGATAACAAATAGTATTTTCAATTTTTCTAAGTTTAAGTAAACCATTCACAAGTTCATCCTTAGCTAACTTAGACAAACTTTTATAGTTCATATGACCAAACTTTTGATGCCAAAGCTCAATCAAGTCATGTCAATTTTAGCACCACTAACACATATTTGGAATCATAAAGAACTACATAATGATTGTCAGAAGTTCTTTCTCCTTATATGACAACGTCACTGTTAGAATCATAATCAGTACACATTTTCTGGACAAAACTAACATCAAAATCAGCATCACATATTTGACTAATAATTAACAAGTTAGACTTTAAACCATTCAAATAAAGCACATTTGAGATAGTAGGCAATCCAGATATATGGACTGTAACTTTATCAAGAATAAGTGCAGTAGCATCCTCTTCAAAAGTAACCATACTGTTATTCCAATTGTCAAGAGTAGAGAACAAGACTTTATTACCACATATATATCTAAAGCCTGCACAATCAATATATCACATAAAGTCATTTTTGGCTTTAAGTGGAACATGGGCAACATAGTAGTTCAATTGTTCATCATATATAGGAAGATTAATTTTCTTAACCCATACCTTCCTAGAAGTAGAAGTAATCCTAGTCAACTGTGTCATCATCTCAGTCAAACGGCTAACCTAATTGGTAAGGAAGTTAGCCTTACTAGAGATATACTGACTCATATTCATATTTACAAGTTTGTGACACCTATGCCTTGTATATCCTAACACACGACAGTTGTGACACATATGAATAAACTTAGGTTCAAAACTATGTGATTGTTGATACTGGTTTTTCGATCGGTTGGAATATTGTCTAGTAGGCCTCTATCCTAAGACACCTTTGCCTTTGGGTGCAGGATTTGCAACATTCCTAAGTTGGTTGGTGGTTTGGACAAACGTGGTCTCGGATGTACTAGCAGTATTATTATTAGTCTGAACATATCCTATATCTCTCATATTTCCAACTGGCTTGTTTATCCCTAATAGTTTATCAAGTTTCTGAGAATCTTTCTAGAAAGAATGGAGTTGAGTATTGGATTTCTCAAGGTCGTTTGTTAGGGTTCTAACCTTAGCCTCTAAGTTCTTATTGACAAGTTTTAACTCATTAAGGCTTTTAGTAGAATCCTGAATGTCCTTATAAGTCTTTTTTCTTTAGCTCAAGTTCATTAACTTTTTTCAATACAACTTTAATTACATTTTTTTATCCTAATGCTCACCTCAAATAACTGATTATACGTCTCACGAATCTCAGTATCATCTTTAGAGTCTTTCTCAAAACCCTACGTCCTCAACCTTCTCACTATCCTTGTCTGAATCACTCTTAACCATAGAAAAAAACGCCATATAGTTCATCTCATCTTCACTACTAGAAAAATCATTCTGGTCACTAGAACTAGACTCATCGTCAGTAAGTGACACAGCTATTGCCTTACTTTTTCATTTATTTAGGTTCTTCTTATAGCTAGGATATTCATTCCTGTAGTAATCAAAACTCTAACACTGATGATATCTAACTGATTGAGATTTCTTACTTGAACTCCTAGTATTAATCTTATCACGCTTGTCTTTCCTGAACTTTCTCTCCTGAGGTTTTTTCTTATTCATAAGAACTTTTTGAAATTTCTTAACAAAATAAACTATCTCCTCAACCCTAAGAGTCTCGGTATCAGTAGCATCATGCTCGTCTTCCTTAACGGTGTTCAAGGCCATATGCTTATTCTTTTTCGGTTGAGATATGATGAGTTCATAGGTTTAGAGGAATCCTACAAGTTTCTCTATCTTAAATGCATCTAAGTCATTGCTCTTTTCAATAGCAGTGATCTTAGGTCTAAACCTCTCGAATAAGGATCTAAGATTTTCGAACAATCTTAGACTTAGAAATTTTCTTACCTAGGTTGAAGTTGTGGTTCACTATGTCATTTAACTTCGCATAAAAATTATCAAATAATTCATCGTCCTTCATTCTAATTTCTTCAAATCTAGTGATCAACATTTGCAGTTTGGAGTTCTTTATAATTTTGGTTCCCACGTGTGTGGTTTCTAAGATATCACAAACTTCTTTATAGATCTCACACATCGATACTCTGCTAAACTCTTCGATAGATACGATCATAAATAGGGCATGCAGTCCTTTAATATTTCAGTTACGGAGGTACGTAAAGAGACCGACTCATCTAAATTAAGTTAGGAAATTGAGGCCTTATACCACTTGAAAATAATGACGTTTGACCCAAAGAATACCTAGAGCAGGGTTGAATATGTATTTTATGCGGAATTTAATTTATCAATTAATAAAGATAAAAAGTCATAATTATTAATTTTATCAAGATGAATTCACATGCAATATTATCCTAAGTTGAATTATTACAGTTGATATATTTCAGAAAAGTAAATAACAACACAAAATTGATAAGGAGAAAACCCCTCTTGAGATAAAAACTTCGGGCCCTAGCCATTAATATACACTATAAACGATAAAGATTTATAGACTGTTCAAACTCGATTAAACCATAGTACTTTTTTGGCCTCCTAACTGTAATCACTAGGCTCTCCTGCACCAATTCTCAATCTTTTGAAATCGTTTTTCTCCTGTTGATCACTTGATAACTCCCCGTTCTCCTCCAATTGGAACTCCGATCACCTTTCTCGATTTTCAAAACTCCGAAAAATTATGCGGAATTATGTGTTTTTATGTTTTGATTATGTGGATTTGATGTTTTCAATGATTTGGTTGAATCAAGAGAAAATTGAATAATATGTAGCATATGTAGAATGTGATCTCTCTTATAAAACAATGTTCAACCAACCCTATTCACGATGTGGGGCTTGGGTATAAATAGTATCTAGGCTTTGTGGCAGTAGATGATAGATAGGATTCTCGAAAATCTTGAACTATGGTTTCATGAGAAACACCGTCGCTCGAGTGCCAAGCTAACGACAGGTGTGTCGCTCGAGCGATAGGCAGGCGACTTTGATCTTGTTTTGGACGCTTGAGCATTAGCTTGGCGGTATGCTAGCATAAATCCGGCAACTCTTTCTTCTTGTTCCATAACATAATCCAATGTCTCTTAGTTCATCTATATAACTTACCAATAGACTCTTTGAATTTTAAAACTTTTTTATAAATATAATTTTGTCTAAAGGTTGTCAATAACTTTAAAACCTAGTACGGTTCGTCTCTCTCAACTAGTTCATGAACAAGGAAGGTGTTTTCCTAGTAGCATCTACAGCTTTCACTAACTATTGGGCTAAGAGATGTTGTCTTCTTTGTTTTTTCAAGGGCCTAAAACGCTAAAAGGTGAGAGGTAAGGAAGCTAAACGTTTACTCAACCTAATCATTTCTCCTTCTCTTGTGTCTCCTCAAGGTGATACATATGGATTGTCCTCCGTGCTCGATAAATAGAACTAGATTATACTAAACTATTCGACGAAGTTACTTACTTAATTTCATAATTGTTCTTATTTTCTCTACTATTAAAATTGGAAATTGTATAATATTTTTGTTTGAGTCAGTAAATGAGACTATATTGATGTTTATTAAAATGCACTTGTTCATAGATCTTAAATCATAATTTGTTGCCCATTAGTACTGTGCTCTGATGTTGAATTTGGTAAAGTATAAGTGATTTTCATTATTTTTAAGTTAATTTTGATTGTTTTGTGGTGATTATCATAGTTTAACTAGATTGAAATTATTTGACTTGTTTGAATTGATAATATTAGTTTAGAAAATACTTTTTTCGTAATTTTAAATTGATTAAATATAATTTTTATTTCTATAAGCACTATTAAATAAGCAGTAAGATTATTATTTTTAATTGTAGAGGACCTTTTTTGATAAAGTTGAAGGGTTGATTCGTAAATATTCGAGATATTACAGGGACGGATAGTGTAATTAATTAGCTCACCTGCTCCAATATATCTGAACGAAAAAGGAGAAAAAATAAAAAAAAAGAATATAAACGTAAGAACCTCTGTTCTGATTTGCGATGAATTGAAAGTCTAGTGGAGGAGATCCATTTCAGGCAAGATCCACTTCCGAATTACTGAATTCTCCGTAGAATTTTATAAACCAATCTATTGAAAATTAAATTCGATCGAGCAGAAATGGCGCCTCCAGCTCAATCTCAGAAATCCTCTTCACCCTCCCAACCCTCCGGGTATTAGCTAGATCCCTTTCTGCATTGTGTTTTGTGTGTGTATTTTTTATTATATTTTATTGCATTTTAGACGGAGAATTTGATGAAGTTGAATGGTACATTGAGTACCAAACACTAAAAAATAATAATTATTCATAATTAAGTTTGTGTAAACGCGTGGGAATTAATGAAATGGAGGTTTAATTTTACTAGATTGACTTCTGAAAGTCTCGAGTCTCTTCTACGTCCGTATGTGTTTAATTCGCTGATAGACCCACTGATCAGTATTCACTAGACTTCCGGCAGTTTTGTTCTCTTTTGTTTTTGGGGGCGTGGAATTTGATATCTGAAAAAGATTAGTCGAGCAAATGGCAAAAATAGTTAATTTTTCCATCTTTTTTCCTCGCAACCAGACACCAGAAAATACAAACAGTAGTAATTCTCGAAAGTCTAACCCTTATTTTGATTTGGCCAGAAAAGGGGAAGTTTCGGATGTGAAATTGCAGCTCCGGCAACTAGCAGGGAGCAGAGCTCCTGGAACGGACGATTCAAAGAGAGAACTTTTCAAGAAGGTGATTTCATACATGACTATTGGGATTGACGTGTCAGCTGTTTTTAGCGAAATGGTGATGTGCTCGGCGACCTCGGATATAGTGCTAAAAAAGATGTGTTATTTATACGTTGGGAATTATGCAAAGAACAATCCAGATCTCGCGCTTTTGACAATTAATTTCCTTCAAAGGGATTGCAAGGATGAGGATCCTATGATTCGTGGTTTGGCTTTAAGGAGTTTGTGTACACTACGTGTCGCAAATTTGGTGGAGTACTTGGTGGGGCCTTTGGGCAATGGGTTGAAGGATGGAAATAGTTACGTGCGGATGGTTGCAGCTGTTGGGGTTCTCAAGTTATACCATATTTCGGCTCCGACTTGCTTGGATGCTGATTTTCCTGCTATGCTCAAGCATTTAATGCTTAATGACAAGGATGCTCAGGTAGACTGCTTACATGTGATTTTATTGCTTATATATCTTCTTATAGATGCTGGTTCTAATGTTTAAATTAGTGTCCAACATATATTGCAATTATTTAATTTTAACGAATCAAGATACTTGTCACAAAAACTTCTTCAAAATACATAAATCTATGACCTTTCTAATTATCAAATTTCCTCCTTTTGTTTCATCAGGTAGTTGCAAACTGTTTAGCTTCTCTACAGGAGATCTGGGGTCTGGAAGCAAGTACATCTGAAGAAGCGGCAAGGGAGAGAGAAATGTTGCTTAGCAAGCCAGTTATATACTACTTTCTAAATAGGTATGCAATAGGATCATTGTTGGTTGCATCAATTTCCTTTTTACAGTTGGAAGTCAGTATGTATAGGAACAGTGTGTGCTTTTTTTTTTATATGACATTCCATATGGGGCAAGCTGTTCCTTGTATTTATATTGCCCGGGGCTTCCCGAGAGGTTACTTAATTGAGAACAAGAAATAATTACCTCAAGAGGTCCCTGCTTTGCTCTCTTTTTCGCAAAATGATATTTTAACGAGGCAGAGTTAATGATAATAAGGATCTCCGCTACCAGTAAATTGAACTCGTAACTGACCCTTTGCCCACTTCATCCCACAACTTTTAATTTTTTCTTGTCTTGTCAAAAGAAGGTACCTTGTTGGTTAGTTTATTACTAGAGGACAGCAGAAAATGCTTTAGTTGTTTCCTCTCAGAGATGGAATATTACTCGACGACACACAAGCATCCTGCCTTCTCAATCTCTTTGCAAAAACTTTGTTTCTCATATTTTATCTCCTTTTCTCATTTTCTAATTGCTGTAACATCCGTTTCTCTGTGTATCTACACATATAATGATAAAAATTAGCACCAGTCCTGCTGATTGATAAGCTCCTATTAATTGTTCAGCATACAACAGACACTGACAATACCTGGATTCTGTGCTATATTTGTGGTCTTGATAGTTAAATATATCTAGTGACTTCACTAATTGTATTGATCATGTATAAGATCATCGCTCGCTCTCTCTCTCTCTCTCTCTCTCTCACACACACACACACACACACACACATTCGCATGCTTGCATGCATGGACACATAGATACAGAGACCTTGTCAGATATATCTTCACCAAAACAAAGTATCTAACTTCCCACTTGATTGTGTACAGGATCAAAGAATTCAGTGAATGGGCACAATGTATTGTTCTGGAGTTGGTTGCTAAGTATGTTCCCTCTGATAGCAATGAGATATTTGACGTCATGAATCTTCTTGAAGATAGACTTCAACATGCAAATGGTGCAGTTGTTTTGGCAACCATTAAGGTGTTTCTACAATTGACCCTATCCATGACAGATGTTCATCAACAGGTGCATAAAACTTTCATTCTTAAATGTCATCTTATTTTCCGTTATTGATGGTGAAATTTGTTTTATTTGGTGCTCTTTCATTGAATTTACTCATCCAAACTTCCATTTTCTGATTTGGAAGCCAAAAAGAGTATTCTCACAATCTGTGTGTCTGTTTTTACAGTGTTGAATATTTACTTGTTGACATGTATTAGACTTGAATCTAAACCTCTTGGTTCTCTAAGTGGAAGCCCCTATACACTTTTAGATCTCATTGCTTCTTCTGACACATGATTATTAATTGAGAACAGCTGAAGTAACACCCTTAGAGTTGGTTAGTCATTGCATTGTAAAACCATCAATAGAATATTTTCAAGTTATCATGCCATCTTCTTATTCTCCATAAAGTTTTACTCGTACTGTACGTTGCACGGTGTGATCCACAAATGGATGAATTGTTTTAAGATATTTTACAGATTTTAATCTCTGAACAGTTTTGAGTCCTGCTATAATGGTGCACATCACAACCAAGTATCATCCTCAAATCTTGTATACTGTTGACCTTGAAAAATGGTTTCGACACGTAGCCAATAGAATGAAACTCCACGTAAGTTCCTCCCAGCACACGGTAGCATGCTGTCGGTCGCTCTTGACCTTTTTCGGTGGGGGTGGAGGCGGCCGCAAGCACTCCGACAGTCAAGTCAGTGTTTCAGTCAATTGGGGAGTAGCGTCCGACGGTGAAGTGGTCACCGGGACGTGGTTGAGAACGAGTGAATATATATAGAAGGGCTCCTTAGAGTTGAAGATTATAATGCCAAACTTGAAAAAATGGGAACCCCTTACTCTTATCAATATGGGGTATTTATACTAAGAGAGGGAAAAGGTGAATCGTTAGATGGTGGGACACGTGGCTTCAGATCCTGGGTGACCTATCTGTTCATAGGTGTCAATCTGTCAATCTTTAGGTTGGCGGACATTAAATGGTTTCTGACTTATCAGCTGAGTTGACCGCTTGTAACCTGCCTCACGTCCCATCAATCAGTCAGGAATTTGACTAGAGATCTCCATAAAGATCTTGGTAGAGGGGTGGCGAGGCGGACTGTGAAGCGTAGCGAATACAGAGTGCGGGCCTTTGCGTCCGCTGCGATTGATGGATGAGTTCGGTGCTCCCACTAGGTGGGGGCGATGGTGATTCAGTTTGGAGTTATGGAATCAGTTTGTCTGCATGAATTTAGTTCGTCTGACATGAATCCAGTTCACCTGCCACGTCGTGACACCGAATCTCGACACCAGGGCAGTTCGGCTGGTACGTGGCTGATGAGGTGGATGGATGTGGTGGAGGGCCTCAGAAGGCCCGTAACATATACAATTAAATCAATTTTACCAATATCCTCATTCCAAATTCTTAGCCCGTCAAGTATACCATATATGAAGTTTTCTCTTACAGCTTCTGTAAATTTATGTAATTCCATTTGCAGTAAAGCTTTCTTTGCCAGATGCTGCTTTAGATGGTGCTCTCCGTGGCACAATATTACCTCATTAAGTCTGCTGAATTTGTTTTTCTTGTGTATTATTAGTTTTGTTGACATGCTTTTATGACATTTCACAAGTTAACATATCAAAGAACAGAAATATATCCTATGAATTTTATCATCAAAGCGTACTAATTCATTTGCAAAAATTGATCTGTATCCTGTTGCTTCCCTTACAATTATCCTTATCTACTCTTGAATTTTTTTATTGAACTTCCTTGTCAGGTGTATGAACGTATCAAATCCCCTCTGCTCACTCAAGTGAGCTCAGGAAGTCCCGAGCAATCATATGCAGTATTAAGCCACCTACATTTACTAGTGATGCGTGCACCGTTTATATTCTCTTCAGACTACAAGCATTTCTACTGTCAATACAATGAACCATTTTATGTCAAAAAATTAAAGCTAGAAATGTTGACTGCTGTGGCAAATGAGAGCAATACATATGACATAGGTGGGTATGGTGCTGCGTAAATGCATAACCTTGTGCACTGAAATTAGACAAAGCCCTTCTTTCTAATCATTCTATGGTCACAGGTGGTGATCCTTACCTTTTTGAGCATGACTAACGTGTGGCCTTTTTACTCCATTTTAGTGACCGAACTATGTGAATATGCTGCAAATGTTGACATCCCAATGTCAAGAGAATCAATTCGGGCTGTTG